TAGCTCTGTAGACCGCTACGAAGCTACGAAATTCTCACGATTCTCTAACGATAAGTAAGAATTATTTGGAATTCTTATTCTGCTGATCGATGTATCCAAATCTAGAAATACGTAATCTCGGTTCACATCTAAGAAAACAGTCTCGTTGATCGTCGAGGGGCATTAAAGGAAACTTTACCGAGTACAGTTGGACACGCAATTTGTCCATTTAGGGAGTTTATACGACGAGATTAGGTCAAACGACGTTCCTCTACTTGCCACCGTGCTAATCTTCAACTCGTTCGTTACAGTCTCGTACGTGTAATTTTCTAGAAAAAGAAAAGAAAAAAACGAATTATGCACGCCGCACGTGTTATACGAAACGCAATATCATAGGAATTTGTGTAACACCTTCTCAAGCAGCATTTTGCACTTGATATAGCGATCGGATTACACATGCATACTCTAGACGCGAGAGAACAAGGAAGAAATAAAGCTTTCAGAGTGCGAAGAGACTATTAAATTCAGACGTAATTCCCTGCGATAAACCAGGGGCATTCGTGACTCCCGGAATCACAATTAAAAGAGACGGTGAGATTCGAAATGAATCCCGTGAATATTCCATGATCGCGTACTACGTCATACATGAAACGGAACATCATTTTATTATCGAGTTACCAAATTCGGTCGGAGACTTGTAACGGAACATACTAATTATTATTTATCGATGTTAACGAAAAGCTTGTCAACGCGACACTTATCCGGAAACATAAAACTCTTAGGCGCGGACTGGCTCAAAGGCGTTCGACTCGAAGCAGTACCGAGAGCTATTTAAAAATTAAACTTTTGTCCCCAAAAGTTTCGTCCGTGACTTGCACTCAGTTATTTTATGTGGTAACGTTTATATTGGGTTGTCTGGAAAGTCCATTCCGATTTTTAGTAGACGGTACAGGTCTGAATATATCGGAATGGTTGGAAACAAATAACACGTGGACATCCGTTAAAAGGTGGAAAAATTGTGGAACAAAATGGCACATGTATAATTCAATAAATATACATCGAAATTCAAACGTGTCTTTGAATGTTTCTTAAAAATTTGCCACGAACTTTCTGGACAACCCAATACAAATAGGCAACATGATTTCGTAGATGTTAACGTTGTAACAGCAGTGGAGCAAAATGAATCGTACGCAATTCAACAACGTAACATTAGACGTAAAACATTGCGTATGCATTACGTATTAATGAAATGGAAGAACCTTTTGGGACAACCCAACATAATCGCGAAGATCACAAGATTATATATCGAAATAAACGCGAACCATGTTTCACCCGTATTCATTAACGCAGCATACCGGGTACCACGGTAATAAAGTTTCTGCCTGTCGCGAGCCGTTATGCAGTATAAAAATTTCATTGAAACTCTTCTTTCGAAATAGCTATTAGCAGCGACGAGCTCGATGTATCGATTTGCATTCCGGCTTTGAACGAGTCGCTCCCTAAACGCTTCTGCTGCCAATCGACGAATACATTAATAGGGGACGATCCGATAGTAAAATGAACTTGCATCGAGAGCCGATATCGGCCTGATGAAAAAAAAAAAAAAAAAAAAAGGAACTCGTGCCGCGTGTTTCGTTGGAGCATGCGATGAATGCGCGCGGCGTGGAGCGTGCCGGAAAAATTTTCGTCCTGTCGAGAATTATCGTTCCTCTTTTCTTCTCCGGTCGACGCGCTGTAACTTTTGTGCGTCCGCCGCTCGCATCGAGATATCCGTTGAATGCGTGGAGCAAAACTTGAACTACCTAACACAGAGATATTGTCCTCTCATTTACGTCTAAATCTAAATTGAAATTTTATAGAGTTCTATGGCTTGTCTTATCGAGCAATCGAGTTGTATCGCGTAAAATGAATCTCTGTACGGGTGTTTTTAGTTTCGGTCAGGAAATACCGCTTACCGGATCGCTATGCGTCGCGGTCTTTGTTTTACGAGCGAAAACTCGTGACGAGCAGCGTGGAATGCAAAGAGAAACGCGACAGTTCGACCGTTATCGCGACAGTTGGTAGCCGAAAGCCCCGAAATTCAGTCGGTCTCTCAATAATTCGTGCGAATCGATCGGCTGCCTTGGCGGAGGCTGACGTTCCAGCGGGTGTCGTCGTGTCGTACACGTGGAAAGGCAGTTTGGCAGCCGGGGCATGTGTCTCGTGAAAGAAACATCGTCCGACCGTCCCTCCTTCCCCGACACCCGGCCCTGCTCTAATGGCGACAGGGGTTAATCGCGACTAGGAGGCGAGTAAAGCCTGAATAAACCCGCGTAAAGATTTATGAACGTACCGTGAAAAGAGGAGATTGCCGGTTCGGTCGCGCGATTTCATCTGTCCGCTCGGGATTCGCCTGGCACGTGATTGTTTTCGAAAGGGAGACGAACGACTGCCCTCGAGGATCTCTGACCGCGAACGGTGCGAATAATTTACGGAAAAAGGAGCGACACGATTACGTTGACGAAATCCGAGAGATCCGACGCGTTTCTCCGACGGAGTACATCCTTTTGCGGCCGATCTCGGAAATGCAAGCTTCAGCTAGAAAGCTCCGATGGCGTTTCAAAAATGAAACTACTCAAATTTCTTTGTAAATGGTTAGTACAGAAACCCGTACGTCGGACGAGCCCGTGAGAGGAGAAATTGAAACGGAGATCCTTTTTTCTCAAATACGTCGTCGTCCTCCGAGTCTATCGTTAATTATTTTCGCGCGTAATAAACGTCGCGAAAATCCAAAGTCGCTCGCGCAGCCGTAATCCCCGAGGAAATATTTCGTCGAGCGATTTTCTCCGCGCGCTGTGCCTTTTCTGGAATGAAACCGGGCACCGCCGGAATTTCTTCTAATAATATTTGACGTTTGAACTTGGAAAAGTACGATCTCTTTACTCACGCGAGCCGGGTAAGGTGAAATCCAGAGGAAGTAGAAGGAGCCCGTCCGTGGCAAGACTGTCGCTACACGGTACTTACGATTACAGCGTTGAATCGGTACGATTTTAAAGGACTCCTTCAAACTTTTTAAACGCGTCCTGCTGATCGCTATGCAAACGATCGCGTGAATTTTTACAATTGTAATTAGTAGAATACGTTTAGCCGATAATAACGAAAGGTCCGACGAATGCTGTTTACATTACACCAGAAAACAATCGACTCGGAGGAGGCGACGCGATCGGAAAATTTCCTCGGGAGGAAATCAACCCTCTTTCGTTCTTCGTTCCGAACGCGCGATTTTTCCTTCCTCCACGAACACGGCTCCTTCCAACCAAAGAAATCATTAATTAGAGCGCCCCTCCCTCCAGATACATATTTATGAAACGAAGCTAATTTTCATCCTCGAACGAATTAAACTTATTGTCAATATTCTCGCGTTCTCGGGCAAAACGATACGGGCGAACGCGAATGATATCGCAGACATCGAATGCGTTCGAGTTAATGAACGACCCGAAAGAACAAGAACGGGCTCTTCGTTTTTTGTTCTCCGCGAGCTGCACGGAAAATAAACGAAATTCCATTTCCTCGCGGCTGCAACGATGATAATGATAAGAATAATTACAAGCCGCTTTACCGCGGGAGTTCCTCGCAACCGACCACCACTCGTTATTTCTCCGCGTTCTTTGTGCGATGGTGTATACGATCGCGACTCGAAGATATTTACGTGACACATTCAAACAGGAATAAATATTATACATCTGAGAATTTTTCGAGAGAAAATCGATAACGCGGGGCTCATTTGTATTCAACCATAACCGCTAGGCGCGCGCCGTCCGCGCTGATTGCTTTGGCCAAGAGCGTTCTGCGCTCAAAGGGTTAATTGTGGCAGTGCTGTGTGAATTCGTGTGCGAATCCGTGAGAAGATGTTTGGATGTGTACGTGGTCTTTAAGAATTAAGAATGCGGTTACGCGGCGATTAGGCGACACTCGAGCGAGACAGTCAAAGGGTAACGTACCACCGAGCGTTAGAGAGCAGAGCGCAAAGGGAACAGAGCGAACGGTAATGAGTTGATGATAATCACGTTTATAATGAATTTTTAAACATCAAATCCCGCAATAATTATCGTTGCGTTTTTCATGCGAATGGCGCGTTGATGTCACGGGAATCGTAATCGTGCGAATAGCCGACGGATTTGATTCGCAGCAAGACGTACGGGACACGTCGGCGTTTCGCGGCGATTTCGGAACTGAAAGACCGACTTAACGTCACGGAACGTAAAACGACAGGTTCTGATATTCGTTCCGATGCCCGCCACCGGCACCCGCGCCTTCTCGTTCTTTCCTTTAGCGGCCCGTTTACTGCCGCAATTTCCCCGCCAACTTTTATCGCTGCGGTAACTTTTCCCAACGCAGACCGATGCTTAAAAATTACTCGCGCGACGCGCTGGCGTGTCGAAACTATTCGCGCGAACCGTGGTCGATTGGTCAAACATTTCTCGATCGAACGAACCGTTAATATTGTAAGAGATTGAATGTGTAACTATAATTTACCGATATATATATACGCGTATATTCTAACTTATTATTATATTAAATACTATATTGGATGAAATTAAAGTACAGGGTGCGACAGAAAATTTGACCTCTAAGGGGTATTCGTCCTAGCACGAAAGCACATCAAGTTTGGAATTTTTTCATATTTTTGTTCGATTCTTCAAGTGGCCTAGTCGTAAGAATCTCTCTCTCTATCTCTCTCTTTCTCTCCCCCACATTCTCGCTCCTACAAAATTTGACCGACTGGCGGATCTATAGCGGATCTAACGAGCGCGGAGCTTCTTCCTTTCAGTACATCGTCCCTTGTGCAACCCGTTCGAAAAAAAAAAGGTTCCATTTAAAGCGAAAAAGTTTGGCCGATAAAACCGGCGCCATCCTCTTCGGAGGATTCTGTTTATACGTTGACGTCGAACGCGACTGTTTGTTTGTATGTTTGTTCCGGCGCGGCGGTACTATATTTGCACGGTCGACCGGCCCGAATCAATTTCTGCTTTTGGTTTCAGTGCCTCTGTACGATGGCGAGCAATTAAACTTGACGAGGATCACGCGCAACGAAATGGGCGCGTATCTCTGCATCGCAACGAACGGTGTGCCGCCAACGGTCAGCAAGAGAATCACCGTGGACGTCGAATGTGAGTGAACACGAAGATTTATTTGCCTTTACAGACAGATTAGTAAAAGTGACTGTTGGAACGCAACTATTGCCAGTGAGAGGCTCCTTGGGCCCAACGGGCTGTTTTTTTCCTTAAAGCAGTGAAAGGGGCGCGGGTCCTAGCAGGATCCTTCATCGCATTTTAAATTATAATCATTACAAGCATTGCTACATTTATACTGGTCCGCGGATACGTGTATAGATTGAGATAAATCAATACAATAAACAGTGTGTGTTATACGGCAGTGCTTTGCTTGTTTCTCAACCTTGAAAGAAGTAATTCGTAACAGTAGCTGTTCGAGAGAAGCCATCTTTCCTTTTCCATCGTGCCATTCGATCGCTTTCGATCACTGTTCATTATCGATTGGAACGCCTGAAGCGTCGAATCATTTCGTCCACGAATCGAAAACGAGTTGATTGTATATTAGTTCGAAGCTGCTATTAGTCCAAACAACGAAGATTCCATCGTCCGGAAATGTAGATAGATCGCTTACGTCGAGGATATAATCGTCGTCTCGCGTTGGACGAGGCACAATTTTACGTAGGACCAGGGTTAAACGAAACACCACGGATTATCGAGTGAGTCCGGTGTGTTGTTTAAATTTCATTCCACGAATTGCAGACGGTCGCATCGGTGTATACGATCCGACGGGAAAATAGGAGGGAAGGGACTCGGGGCAGATGCACCGTTAGGGAAAACCCGAGGGAAATACCGTGAGCTTGCGCGGGCGTCCCGACGCTACTGGTCATTTTTCCCTTTTATGCGTTCCATTCGTTCGTGTCACTTGGCGTGGCCGTGTGCGTACGAAGGAACGGCTCGACGCTCCTACTGTCCTTTGAATATTTAGAAGGGCGCGGACATATTTTATTTAGACCAGCGAGAAAACATTGCCTTCCGTCCCGCTCTCGAAATACTCGCTCGAGCACTTTTCTTCTCCTGCACTCTCGTTTCCCACCAACCAGCGTCGCCCAGCGACGCGACACGTCTGAATAATTTTCATCTGTTTCTGGATGCCTCGACTCGCGACCCTCTTAATGTCCTTCTTGTACGAATAATAGCTGAGGACGACCTCGATTATCGCAGGAAATGGGGGCTAAAAAATGTCGCAATTATCGAGGCAACCTTTTCCAAGGAGTAGCAACCTTATCCCAACTCTGTCCCAAAGTTGGTGTAAGAACCAGAAATTTTGAGGGGGGGGGGGGGGGAAGGAGTAGCTGAAACGATACTGAACCACAATTTCCTTTGCAAAAACAAAGCACCATCCGACATTTTTGCAAAGTAAATTATGGTTCAGAATCGTCTCAGCTACCTTCCGTTTCCGGCTCTCAGACTCTTGGACACCTTGTATACTCCCGCTATAGGCAGTTTGCTTATCGTTTAACGATCATCCCCTCCAACGATAACTTGTGCAATAATCGAGGTTCCCTCGTAGCTCTCAAACAAGTTCCTTTCGCAATCGCAATTGCAATTAAGTCGCACTAACGCATTCACCGGGTCCGTTGACGTTTAACGTCCCCAGCGACCGCTCCTCGCGAAAGACAACGAGACGAGCGAGCGTTTGAAAAATTCTGATTAGTTCTATTGTTCTGCTACGCGATAACAGCAAACTCGAACCGGGGGACTGTAATCCCGAGTAATTAATGGCGCGCTACACGGCGGTCACCTAATTAAGATGCTGTTGAAACGGGAAGTCCTTTTGAGAGGGAGAAAGTTCGCTCCAACGAGGAACTGCGTTTTTATGGGCTTACTTTTAAACGCAACTTCGCCAGCGATCGCGTGGCTCTCCCATACGAAACTCTGTTCCGCCCGCAATTCTAGAATATTGTACGACAACGCGCGTTAACGCAACCTGTCCATGGCGAATTATACACGCTATGAAATTCTTTCCATCTTCGACGTTCCCGTATCGTTAAAATCAAGCACGCGTTATATTTTATGCAGCGTTGGCCTGGATAGTACATCCGACGTCAACGTCGCTCGTGGTTAGGTTGGAAGAGTGTTTTTCAAAATAAACCTTTAAATCTTTGAAAGTTTCTCTCGGCGATGCTGGTCCCCAGGCGCATGATCGACGCGCGACGAGCAAACTTACTCGAGCTCGAACGACTTCAGGATTCGTCAATGAACGGTAACGGCCATCCTAAAGGGACAGGAAAATTCGAAAGCCCCCGGAGCGGATGCAAAGCTGCAGCCGAATCGCAAAAACGCGATCGAAAATCAAATTTTCGATCCCGTCGCGGATCCATACATTCTTGCTTCAGGTTCTTTCAGTTATATAGTTCGAGTTTCTCCATACATATGGATCGCCAGAAGTCGTTCGGAATTTTCAGATGAGACATTCGAATCGTACGTTCCGGAATATGTACCATTTTCTTACGAAATTGGAAAACTCTACGTATGCAAATTGCACAGTTTGCGCTCCGAGCAATTAGTCGATAGTCGATTAAATATTACTACGAAACGATGACGGGAACTTTTTAGTTTATATATTATCATTTACATGTCGCGACTGATTAGAGGACTCGCGCGGAATTCGCGTAGGGAACAAGAACGCTCGTCGGCGCGGGATAAAGGAGAGAGATCCGATAGGCGAGGGACGTGGATAGAGTCGATGGTGGGAAATCGAGAGAAGTATGCGTTAATTAGGGTCAGCGGCGGCAATTTGTGGATTTGTGGCAAGCCTGATGCATACCACCGACGGCTGCCCCCGAGAGATAGTTGCAGCGCCGCGTGCAGCGCGTTATTCGTCTACGGTTAACCTCGTTCGTTTACCAGCAGTTTTGTTTTAGCCTCGATCAGGCCTACGGGTCGATACATTTTTCGGCGATTAACGACACGGGCGCAAACTACGGGTTCATTGACCGAGATCATCGTCGAAGTTTCGTCTCCCTGGACGCCTGGAAAGACAAACACGTTGGTAGTGTCGCGCCTGCCTATACCCAACAATAAGATGTAGGTAAAGCGATCGACTGTGGATTAGAGCTGTTCGAGTACTAATTGTTCGAGTAAAACTGGGTCTCATCTCGACTCGGCTCGCGAGCAACTCGAAACATCCGAGTTTTCTGCAGGCCTACCGTGGATCCAAAGATCGTGGGTTCGAATCTCCGTGCCTCATTTTTCATTTAGACTCTTTACAACGTAGATGTAGGAATTGTTTAGAAAGAAACAAGCCGGACGAAGGTGCGGAGCAGACTTTGGACACGCTCGAAGGAACTAAGTGGGGTCGGGGGTCGGGTAGAAAATAAAGGGTTCCATTGCGTTCTCTCCTCCGTCGGAGAAATCATCTAATTCGACTTCGCCCCGTTGATTACGGCGTATGCTTCCTAATTCCGAGCTCGATATGGCCGGAAACAAAGTTTCCACGGGGAAGTTCTGTTTATACCAGTCGAATTAAACTGCAGGCGCCGAACAGGTTCCACAGCGTCGGGGTATCCGGGACGGTATCTACATTTTATCAATTCCGAACGAACGAGAGGGAGGCAGAGGGTCGGTTTCATCCTCCCGGTTAGAAAGAAACTTCCAGGTGGAAGTTTTTCACCTGGAACCTGCTTGGCAGTCGTCGTACGGCCCGATGGCGAATCCACCGAAGCACGCGAGTCAGAAAATTGTTCCCGGGCTACTCTATTCGCTGTCGGGACGAAAGATGGACACGAAAAGATGGCTCGATTACGTTAAACGTCGCGACGTTATCGCGGTACGCGTTGCAACTTTCGTCGAATCTTTCGATGAATCCTTCGTGTTTGGTGGAGAGGAGACAGGTGAAGATGTCTGTGATTTCGTAACGTGACCACGATTATTGGATTAAAAATGGATATGTCGTTTATATTGATTCACACAACCGACTCGTATCGGTGTTCCAGTTTCGCCGATGATCTTCGTGCCGAATCAGCTGATCGGCGCACCGATCGACACCGACGTGACGATCACCTGCCACACGGAGGCGTATCCACGGGCGATGAACTACTGGTTCCTCGGCGACAAGATGATTCTCTTGAACGAGAAGTACACGACGAGCATCATGGAGAACAGTTACAGGGCGGATATGAGCCTCACCATCAGGAATATACAGATCGACGACTTTGGCGTCTATCGTTGCATCAGCAAGAACTCGCTGGGCGAGACCGAGGGGTCTATCAGGTTGTACGGTAAGACGACGAACGATTGATTAAACTCGAGAGATGTGCGCGACGATTAAATCAAAGATAATATCATTCAAGGAAGATGCGACACGATCTTCTGAGTAAATTCGTAGATTCCGTGATTTTTGGAATTTCAATAACTTCCAGAGCTCGAAGTATCGTAGGGAAGGTCTACGTCTTGGTAATAATAATGAAAAGAACTCTAGAATTTGTTTACCTTCAAAGACGAATATAGAAACCACCCTCGCCAGGGTCTGCGCAGGCCAAAAAGAGGATTCGACTTTTAAAGCCGGATAATTCTTTATTTCAGACATTCCGAAGCCGTCGGCGGCGCCAAAGGCCACGGAGATCAAGAGCAGCGCCAACAAAGAAGGTGAGAGCTTGATCGAATCCGTACATTGCGCCTCGAGTCCCGAAATCGATATCACACGTAGGTCCTCTCCGACCACGCTTCCCTCTTCGGCGAACTCATTATCCGTATTTTATCGCGGAATTCGCGGCCCGCTGAAGTTGGCTCTCCTCGCGTTCACGGAAACGGGATGAGCGGAGAGGAGAACGGGTCGCAGGTGCCGCGGACCGCCGAAAAGAAAAACAACGATAAAATTAAACGGTCCCGCTAAACGGCTGAATTAAGGCCACCGTATTCCCCGGGACCGATTTTATTCGAGGAGAAAGTGGGAAAGTTCGCGACCGTGGTTTGCGCAACGTGGCTTCCGTGGAGCGGACTTTTATCGCCCCGCTCGCGCCCCAACGATCATTAAACGCCACCGAATGAAACAATTTCGCGGAAGATCGAGGACTTTGCTTTCCTAGTCGAAACGATTTACTCGCCACTCGGTAAACTGGTAACGAGAATGTTACGTTCCGACAATCGTCAATCGTGTTCGCAGGACTCCTCGACGAACATCGAACAGACTTTTCTGCTCGGTAGGGGTTGACGCGTCAAAGGACAACTAAAATCATCTTTTCAGCGTCGGTGAATGATATCGCGTAATAGGAAAAGTCTTTTTATTTATCGCGAAGCGATATATACGAGCTCGTTGCGTCGTATCAGGGAAACAGATCCTCGCACCGCGAGAGATCCGTGAAAGGGAACCGTTTCTAAACGAGCAATTTACGTTCAAGCGGGCTACCGTTCGCGAGCACGGACCAACGCCGGTTCTCGAACGTAATCTTTACGTCAGCTGGGCCGGTGGTGTGTGCACATTGGCGGGTGTATTATTAAAGCAGCGCGAATAACTTGGGAGGATGCCTAGGTCAGGTCCCTGTGGCTCTGGCCCCGGTGTTCTCGCAGCGAAACCAATCTCAATATGCTGCATTATTAACGCCATACAAGGCTCGGCCACGACGGTATTACCACCATTAAGCTTCGCAATTTTACCTCGCAACCCTACCTGCTCGGTAACCTGGATTATTGTTATACCTTGCCGGTTTCGCCGTTACCTTTCATCGAGTAATTGCGAGCCGTGGATTTTCACTTGGGACACGATCGTTGTACCGCAACTTTCGACGTCCCAGGCCAGGGAACGGGTTCGATTGCTCGGTTCGAAATGTAATTTTAAAGCGTTCCCCGTCGGATGCTCGTACCGAAGCAATTGTCTCGCGACTCTCTCTCTAAATGGAGCACGGAGCTTTCAAACGTCCGCGGCGAGGTAACTGCGTCTAATTCTGTCCAACGAAACTCAAATCGTTCTTAATTGAAAGCGACCGGGTCAGTTTCGAATCAAAGGTCAATTTATTTCGATTTCGACTGAGTCGCTGGAATCCATAGATCGTATACGAGCAAACATTCGGTCCTCTGTTTAAAAATACGCAATCGGTTAAGTATTTAGTGTCAACCTAAAGCCAACTACTTCAGAGCTCAGTTGTAACGCGTGACTACGCGAGACGGGTGATCGACGTGCACAGCTACTACGGGAAAGTTTTGAAAATTTGCCGGTGGCCCGTGTACGTCGCCATCGTGGCTCGAAATCAATCTTAATATTACGGAATTATTAATCACCCGGCCACGGTGCGCGATAACTCACCAACGGGACGTTAACCGCCACCAAGCAGTTTCCAATGGGACCGCAGCGTCGCGTTACACCTTATCTGGTCGGATAACATTCGAAGCGAAACCGGCTCCTCCGAATTTGGTACATAGATCGAAATTATCGTTAGCGACGCGAGTTCGCGCATTCCTTAACCAACGATAGTCGCCTAAATAACTTGTTCGCGAATCTCCCGAACGAATTGTGGTTAGAAGAGAGTCGTTTGTATTATGTCGTCATTTTTATGTTATTTATGTTATGTTTTATGTTATTAAATAAATCGTAACACGTTGATCGCCGCGTCACCCACATGTGGGTGACAGTGCTTTAAACCGAAGAGCTAAAAAAATTCATTCTGGAAGTCGAATGTCAATGAAAATGAATTTCAAACGAAATACTTAAATTTTGATGAAGTTACGAGCACAAGTACCATAATAAATGTTTGATTTTTCTAATAATCTATAAAGAAAGTTTAATACCGGTAGAAATTTTCAAGAGTATCAGTCTGGCAGTCAACGTGTTAACGTTACGCTGGAGTCTCGCGTGGATCGAGTATCGCATGAGCCGCTCTTCTGGGCCGAGGGGATAGATCGACCGTGATCGTTGCCGTCAGCGAAAAGCTCGACCATTGTCTCGTTACCGCTTGCCAAATTCGGAGGTATTTATATTTGACGAGTTCCATAATACGCGTTCTAACGTAACTATATCAAGCTTAATCAGTTCAATTTGATTCCTAGTTTAAACACGTAACGAATGCACTCCTCTACTTCCCTGCCGGGAAATCCGAATAGACGTAAAATGAATTGATGAAAGATGCGCTGTAAAATGAATCCAGCGCGCATTCAGTCGCGGTTAGCGAATAATCGCAACGACGGCGATTCGCTGAACAGGTCGTAACGTTTGAAAAATCTTGGCCGTTAAAAAAATGCCAGGAAGAATTTTTTTTTTCAACGGGAATCCGCGCACGTGAATATTTCAACAGCAGTTCGTCGCTTTTTCAATAATTCACCAAGCTCTTCGGAACACCGCGGACGAATCGATCCCTCGGTTATTTCGGCGCAGTGACCTTCCGCGAACCCCGAGGAACATTTTAATTTTATATCGCGGCATTACATCGACAGCTTAACGAGTGACCCAATTAAGCGCATTTAAAATTCAATTACCGCTGTCCTGGCGAGGGGTACGAGGATGCGCGAGCCGAGATTGCATCGTTCTCGACAGATTTCTGGCTCGCGAGACAATCGCGGCGGTGTCGATCGGCCAAACTAAGAGAAGGAAACCCTCGAATCGTGATCGAGAATTCGGCCAAAGTTTTACGTTCCTAGACGACAACTGAACCGTTTATTTTCGTGTATATTCGGTCAGGATACGGAGCGCGATGTCGAAATTACATCGATGTTCGGTACTCGCGCTTAATCGAGGAACATGCGAACGGAAATCTATAGCAGTGCTTGGGCAAGAAACTGATAAATTCTTATTGCAAATTTCGCTCCATAAAGCGGAACTACCTCGAAAATCTCCACGGCGCGAGGCCATTATTTATACGAGCTTATAACTCGTTAAACGCGTCCCTAAATCTTCCTTTCAAAAAGCGAACTTTACGATCGCCTGAAATTCTCTTTCCCTCTCGTTCTCGTTCACCGTCGTTCTCCCTCCGCGGAGACCGAGGCTCGTTCTCGCCCGAAGGGTTGGGATTAGCCCCCTGAGAATGTACGATATTTAATAATGCCTCGACACACTAGTTGCCTCTCGGGACACCCATCGATCCTAGCAGCCGTAATTAATTATCGGCGAGCAAGGAGGCTGGAATTATTTCTGGCATTAGCCTCTGGGCTACGACGATGTATCCTCCCTCTGTTCTGCCGCCGTCGACCTCCACCGCCCTGGAAAAATCGTTTACCGAGCGCATCGATGCCCAGAACCACGGCAAACCGATCGCTGTCGATCGATCTTCGGTTATTCGGAAGAACGTTCCCACGGGATTTTCGCCTACGTTACAAAACTCGTTCGTTGATCGTTCGTTACAACGTGCAACGTACTTACATACGATTCGCCGATATTTTGTAACGCATCAGGAAAACAATTCTCGCTGCATGGCGCGGTCGAATGCATCAATGTATAGAGTAGAGTTAGGAGGACTGTGATCTTCAAAACTATTGCTACTATGAAACACTGTTTACGAATTGTTTCGGAAGTCCAAAGGTAAGGCTCTTTGTTTCACGTATCTAATTAGTTTACTTTGCGAGTTCGTGCGGGCATGTGTATCGTTGAGTAGATGTTTCATTAGGTTTGACAGAATCATGAATGGTTGCAAAGCGATTCGTTTTTATTATTCACTAGAGAGAAAGACTTAAATACCGTGTCAACGTCCACCGAGGATCAATGGATTGCCCGCGATCGTCGACCTCTTGTTGCGAGAGTATCCATCGGGCCACAGATTCCGCGCTGCCCGGATTAAAACGTACAGAATCGTTCAGAAAACGAACCGAACTATTTCCAGCATTAACTCTTGAGATACGTCACGTGCCTCGATCGACGCGAAACCTCCCACGCGCGATAAAATCGAGTTTGGCTAAAATTACCACCTCAGAAATTAAATTATTTTTGAACGACAATCCAATGATTCGGGTATATCGTTAATTGTCCACTTCCTCGCGAAACATAGTAATGGAATTAGTTTCACGGATCGAACTCGAGACCGTTCGTGTGTCCGCCGATTGAAATTCGAAAAATTGCGACAACGTCGCGAATGAAAAGGCAACGGTACACAGACAATCAACGCTCAGGATTACGATAGCAGGTTTTATTTCCAAGCGAGGATTACGTTGGTTGTTAACAAATTGTATCAGTATAATTTGCTTGAACATTCGTAGTGGTGGTCAGAGACTGTATTTTTATTTTTAAAGACAGCCTCTCCGATTTTGCTGTCAAATTTCATTGCTTTTCCACTAACCAACGTTGCTTCGTCGATATTCAATATTCCATTGTGTTGCACTCCCAGGCATGACCACATTCTACTAAATCCAACCCTCGGTAATTTATTGATTTTTGGTTAACGAAATTTAAAAAATCATAGCCTCCGCTTTGACGTGCACTTCGGCTCGCGTATTTCTACGGTGAATCGATATCACTTTATAAATCAACAAATATGCGCAACATGAAAAAATGGCTCTTTTTTAAACGTTGGGTGAGTTAAAGACTGCTCCAGCTTTTTATACGGCAACGTAATGGGAGCGCAATTTCGTTCCATAAGCTCGATTCTTGTTTCGTCTTGTAACCGAACACGTATGTGTTCATGTACATGTACGTACGGTTACATATGCGTATGTATAATGAGAAGCGC